CTTCAGCCTGAGGTTTATTCATTACACTTTTTGGTGTGAAAGGGCTTTTACATTTGCTATAAATAGAACTTCTTATATTAAAAACAATCAAGCCCTGCTCATATTTAAAAAGTAACGCGAAAGTAACGCAAAAGTAACGTAACGCATTACTTTCCATAAAAAGTAACTAAGTACCGTAATTAGTTACTTTTTTATGGAGTAACGCAATATTGTAATGCATTACTTTTAAAAGTAACTTTCCCCAACACTGCTGGTGTGCATCTTGAGATAAAACAAAGGCACTGATATATTTTAAGCAGTTGAAACAGCTCAGACTTACACTTTAGTCTAGGATTAGGCTTAAGCCTCGTCTGTGAAACCGGGGGTATAACTGATTAATTTGGCACAATTTTCCAAACCATTCACACAGTTCTCGAAACAAAGACACGTTTCTCAAAACTTTTAACACATTTCACCTGTTCACACACATGTTCCAATTTGCTCAGTGTTTTCAGCTAAACTCTACACAAGAACGCCATTATTTTGCACAGGTTTAACCATGTTCTCATTTAGAAAACACAAACACACAATGTGTTGCTGATGAAATATAAAGCACTGTAGTTGAGCATGTTCTTGTGATCATAAGGAAAGCTGGCCTGCAGCTCATCTACAGGGTTTTACACGACTTACACTTTACAACTACAGTACTTCAGATGAGAGCACTTTCACTGTTCTTTGTACTGTAAATACTGTAGCACACAGCCTCAAACTCATAACTGTTGAATTGATTTGTCGCCAAGCATTTCTTACATGTGTTTGTGCAGAACTGAGGGGAGGCAGATAAGTCTTTTCTCAGAAGACTAAGAAACTGTTATAGTATAACAAATAAGGATATTACCAATACTGTAATGCAACTTGGCAGAGGATGTTGAATTTACAGTTTTTTTTTACTATCGCTAGGACACATTTCTCAATACTAAATTCACTTTTTCAAATCTCTTCACACAGTTCTCCTAAACATCTTTCAACTTGACACAGCAGTTCATTTCACATTCAAAATGTACCACAACTACCAAAACACTTCATTAATGCCTCAAATCAACTCATTCTTACATAACTCTAGCAAAGGTTTTCACCAAACAAACATACTTTATCAATCAGAACACAACAACCTAAAAAACACTAACAACAGGTAGCATTATACAATGTTTTTCTTTTGTAAAATTTCTTTAAAAAAAAAGAATGATGCTCTCTACTGTTTATAATTCACTGCCTGTTACATTGTCCATGTTTACATTATAGTACAAATTTATTTCTAAGCTTTCCCCTTTTGTATAGATGGTAATGAAAGTGAAAGACTAAGTAACACATATGTTCAGCTATATGCAACTGCTTTGATAGTATTTGATTTTTTACCTTCAGAATATTTTTCTATATGATATTACTGTAGAAATGTTGCAAATTTCTCTTATTCATTTTTGTACTGTGCTTTTGAACTTAAGTTTAACAGTTTTGAAAACAGTATGTAAACATGTGCAAATTGGCTTGTATAGTACATAAAGTTTTGGTGGTGTTTGTGTCAAAGTGATAAAAGAATTCATGTAATTTGATAGATGTCATCAATGAATGCATTTTGTGCCAAAGCAATGATAATTGATCCACAGTTTAGCCCACATTTGTGCTCGCTGTGTGAGGAGTTTTGAAAAAGTGAGAAATGTGTCCTAGCGATTGTAAAAAAAACTGTATTTATTTAGTTAGTTAGCTATTTATTTATTGCTGTATAGTAACTGACAGTATATTCCAATGTGTGTTTACTGTATATTCTGTTGTTTGGTTTTTGAACTTTTCTCTTCTAGTGCTTTTCCTCTACTGTAAGATCATATAACAAATAAGGATATTACCAATACTGTAATGCAACTTGGCAGAGAATGCTGTATTTATTTATTTATTTACAGTAACTGACAGTATATTCCAATCTGTGTTTACTGTATATCCTGTTGCTTGGTTTTTGAACTTTTCTCTTCTAGTGCTTTTCATCTACCGTAAGATCACTTTACAGTAGTGTAGTGAAAGTAAACTTTTCTTACAGTTTAATGCTGAATTTTACTGTATCTGCACCGCTCTATTTATGCTGCATACTGTAACAGATATTGACTTGCAAAATGTCTCCTGCTTCCCAAAAGCAGGTTTATGTAACAGTGTTTTGAACTGATCTCACTGGTGTTCTCTAGTCAGGAAAATACTCTGTGTTTGACAGCTTTGTGTGTCATCTGAGGCCAAAGCTTGAGTCTGACCAAAGAGAATGTGTTTTTGACTAAACTGTTTGATGTTGAGCTGGAAGTTTGCACAAGTTGGTGTGTAGTTTTGAGATTGTGTTTATAGTTGTGAGAAAATAGTGAATTGTGTGTTAGCAATCGAGAAAAACTGTAATAGCACATTAAGAAAAACAAAATTAAAAACGACCTCTTCCTACAAACAAACAATTCACCATTTTCTAATGAAATGAGATCTGAAGAATGAATGCTGTATCAGATGCAGGTAATCACACTCGCTCAGTCCATCTCTCTCTCATAATACTCTACTATACACTGCTTTAATACAGTAATACAATAAGCTTTCAATGAAGCAACTCAACGTCCATTCGTTACGAGTTCTAAAGTAATGTTTTGTAATTAGTAACGGAGGTTTGGGCTCAGCTGTTAAACTCAAACTGAGATTTGAATCTGTGGTGGAACCCAAAAGAGGGTTTTTAAAGACACTCCGTTGTTATTTTGTTTATGTATTTACACACTCGTGCTGTCGAACTGTTGTATAAACGCAATATCAAAACAAATCTTTTCATAGGAATGAACTGAGAAGTACAGTGTCCTGGAGGACTACATGCTCTGTGACTCTATTGAGTCAGACTGAATGTGGCGTGACAGGACCTCAGTACCTGCGAGGTGTCGTGGTTGAAGATGATGGAGTTGAGGTCTCCACAGTTGTAGTGCTTAATCAGGTGCTCTGTGGTGTAAGGCACCTGCAGGCCCCCGGCGCGGAGACTCTCCTGCTGCAGCAGCGTCTGATTCAGAGCGAAGATCACCTGAAACACAAACCAGAGCTTTAGTGTTCATCCTGCACACCTGCCAGAGAACCTCTGCCATCATGCTACCCAAACCTGCACGACTGACTGCTTTCTGTGAAGATATTCTGAAAATAAATATACAGTACTTATTTCATGCTAAGTATGCTACAAATACATTAATAAAAGGTCCTGCAATTGTACTTTTAGAATACTAAACTGGTATACTTAAAGTCTGCTAAATTGGAACAACTAGTTTTGTACTTAATGCACTTTAATTGTGCAGAAGTACAATTAAGTATATACTTAGTATATTCGATTGTGCTAAAGTGGAACTATTGCAAGTATACTTCAGGTACATTTTGCATTTAAAGTCTGATATTATTCAAAGATCATACAATCCTCATCAAAAGTGACATTAAAACACATTTTAGGCTTAATATTAAGAAACGTGCATTGTGCACAAGTAGTATGCCAACTAGTAAAGTTTAATTATAATTTTTATATCAGTAAGTCTCGAGTTGTCTGTCAGTAAATATGTTAATAGATTTGAACTATACTTAGTATGAAATAAATGTATTTTAAATATATTACTTTTTTACTAAGGTTGGTAACTCAACAGTTTTGGTTCCCGCTGACTTTTTCAATTGTACTTTTTTGTCCATACAGTGGAAGTCAATGGGAACAGAAACAGGAACCAACAGTCTTGAATTTCATCAAAATATCTTATTTTTAATAATCATGTCTTAACTTATATGTTACTTTGTGCTCCACAGAAGAAAGTTAGTCATACTGAGGGTGAGTAAATGATAACAGAATAATGATTTTTGGGTGAACTATCTTACGAGTAAAAGTACTTTAAAATCAATCCTAAATATAACTGGAAGCCAGTGTAAGGAGCTGAGGACTGGTGTGATATGCTCAGATTTTCTGGTTCTAGTCAGAATTCTGGCAGCAGCGTTCTGGATGAGCTGCAGCTGTCTAATGGTCTTCTTGGGAAGGCCGGTGAGGAGACCATTACAATAGTCCACCCTGCAGGTGATAAAGGCATGAACAAGTTTCTCCAAATCTTGACTGGAAACAAAACATCTAATTCCCAGCGATTCAAAAGCATAAGGAGCCGTCTGCTCTCTAAAGCTCTTGCAGTACTTTGATGTCACACACCGATCGGTCTGATGGTGATGATCCGCTTCAAGTCAAACAAGCCTAATGATTCAATGGACCGTTCATAAAGAACCATTTAATTCACTCCTGAATGAATCAGCCTATATGATCCATGTTCAGTCACATTTGGGGATTCCTCACCCACATTCATTAATGCTTCAAATCTGTTCTCAAGGTGTATAGGGGGTGGTAGAATACCAGTGTTTGCAAGCCTTGTCATAGCCGTATCTGGGGTAGAGGATGCTATGGAAGCAATACAAGATACTCATGACAAGAACCACAATCCTTTGTAGAAGTCTGTGGCAGTTCATGCAGCAAGTAGATTCCACAAGAGGCATTTTCTTTCTCACCACACACACTCTCGTGTAAGTTGCTGGCAGTGGGAGGCAAAGAGTCTTCTTTTTCGTAGTATTATTCCTGTCCCAAAAAGTTTTTAGTTTAGTGTCTGTGCCAAAAATGTGTTGTTTGAGCACTGTGCTGATCTGCTGAAGTTAAAATCTTAGAAAAATCTGAGGAAAGTGCATAACAACAAGTATGTTGTTGTGCTTCTACTTTATGCAGTAAAGTAAAAGCACAACAACATACACAAACATGTGTGGATCACAAATGCTGCACTGACATACAACTTTTTTAGAGGCTTGATCAGTATATGAGGACTAGTGCTAGTGAAGACAGACAAGAAGAAGTGTTTGTGTCTGACGCTCCTGAAGGAGGTTCTGCTGAAGCGTGAGTGAAACTCTCACAGATCAAAGGCTCCGCGGAGGAGAGTTTCTCTTAATTAGTTCTAGCTGCCGCTTTTTGTTGCTTCTGCTGCTGCAGCTCACCATTGTGTCACCATGAAATTCCCCAGTGTTTACACACACACACACACACACCACACACACACACTGTTTAGACCAGGGGTGTCAAACTCAGTTCCTGGAGGGCCACAGCCCTGCACAGTTTAGATTCAACCCTAATTAAACACACCTGACCCAGCTAATCAAGTCATTTAGGTTTATTTGAAAACTACATGGTATGTGTGTTGGGGCAGGGTTGGAATTAAACTCTGCAGGGCTATGGCCCTCCAGGATCTGAGTTTGACACCCCTGGTTTAGACTGATCACTCACAATAGTTCCTCTTCCAAACAAACAAGTGTATTTGCTCCCAACAGGAGAATCAATCATGTTTCCTCCACCTGTGAGCTCATAGCCAAATGCTGCAGATGAGTTTAAGAGTTTCACACACACACACACACACTCAAACTCTTTTCATCAGCGCCGGTAACACTCTCTGGCCCCGTCCGTCATTGTTTGAGGGGCTCGTCCCAGAGAGGAGGGCAAAGCCCAGCAGATGCCTTCTTGTCTGGGACAAAGGGCCCCGTCGGCCGCTGGGCTCCCTGCGCTTTCATCCCGCGCTCATCAAAGCCTCCTGCTCTGCATTTGAAAGCGCGCTGGCTTTGTGCTGCTCAAATTAGCCTATCGCCACCCCGCTAGCCTCCCAAACTCCCTCCATCTGCCGCGGCCAAAGCATCTTCAGCGGCGCAAAAGAGCCTTTCAGCCCCTTAAATTACGGCGCGGAGGAGGAGGAGGCGCTGAATGAAAGAGCCGGGCCTGAACGAATGCGTTGTGTCCGTTCTGTGGGTCACTGGCCACATTCACACGCGCGGGAACCAGAGAGCGTCCATATCAAAGCACAGCGGCCCTATGAAAGTCAATAATTCAGCTTTGTGATGGAAATCACCCGTTACGTTACGATGGATGCGCTGAAAACACTCCACAGAGCTGAAGAGTGTGTGATTTCTGCACCGAACACAATCACAGAAATAATAACGATGATTGAGTCCAAACAGGTTTCCCAAACACTCAAATCAGCTGAAAATCTGTGACAGGGCTTAAATAATATTAGTCTTAAGGCCCGTTCACACCGAAAACAATAACGATAACCATATTAGCGTCCGCACCAATGCATGATATCGTTCTGTTTGTTGTAAGCGTGTGCTGCTGTCGTCTGTCGCTTTACAGTGTTTTACGATCGCTGGGACATATTTCTCAATACTTATGTCAATTCTTCAGAACTCTTCAGACAGCGAGCACAACATCAGTCTCTGTGGGCTAAACTGCTTTGCTTTGGCACAAAATGCATTCATTGACGACATCTGTCAGATTACATGAATTCTTTTATCACTTCAGCACAAACGCCACCAAGACTTTATGTACTACACAAGCCAATTTGCACGTTTACATACTGTTTTCAAAACCTAGCACAGTACAAAAGCAAACATTGTATAATGCTACCTGTTGTTAGTGCTTTTTAGGTGGTTGTGTTATGAGAGATAAAGTGTGTATGTTTGCTAGTGTTATGGAAGAATGAGTTGATTTGAGACATAGTTTGAGGTAATTTTAGTGCATTTTGAATGTGAGATGAACTGCTGTGTCGAGTTGAAAGATGGTTTGGAGAACTGTGTGAAGAGTTTTTAAAAGTGACTTTAGTATTGAGAAATGTGTTCTAGAGAAAAAAACTGTAATGATTCAATGTTTTTATTGTTAATTCATTGTTGAAAGTGATTCTGACGATAACGTTCCTGTGTGTCGTTATTGATATAGTTGTGGTGTGGACTTCACTATTCTTTTAAATTCAGATCGATTTTTAAAACAATATGAATAACAATATTACAAAAAGTTGTGAATCTAGTAATTGTTCTTGGTGTGAACAGGCATTTAGTCCTGAAAAATTACCAAACTTCCAAGACTGTCAGCACATATTCAGAATCAGAGTCATGAACAATTTGCTATTGAACTGATCAGATCAAAGTTGTAAAAGTGTCAATAAACAAATGTCACCATTGGTGTGGATGATAAGAGTTATCGTTATAGCTATATAAACTCTATGGTTATATATATGAATGCCACACACATCTGCGTTTACAGTCTGTTCAGTCTTCAGATATCTATGTTCTGTCTTTAATCGTAGATGTGAAGTGGATGTGTGCCGCTGTGATTGAGGAGCGTCTGTCTGTGAGTGATGGTGCCGTGCTAATGGACGCCGTTAACGGCACAAACTCTTTCTCATGACATCATCCGCACTCTGTTTCCCACCAGCTAAGAACACAAACAAAGCCAGAGCTCGACAGCGCTCAGTACGGCCGCAGGATTTGTGAATGGACTCTGATAAACTGGGAAACTTTCCCACGATGCCCTGCCTGTGCATTACTCCAGCAGATGAGTAACGTGACGCGTAACGCCAAGCTTCAGATGCACACACTTAACCCAGACTCACACTAATTCAGAACAGAGCCGCCGTGTGTGTGTGTCTGTGTGTGTGTGTGTGTGTGTGTGTGTGTGTGTGTGTGTGTGAGTGAGTGAGTGTGTGAGTGAGTGAGTGAGTGAGTGTGTGTGTGTGTGAGCGCATTTCTTCTGTGACTGGAGTTTGGCTTTGATTTTTTCAGTGTCAGACAGTCATAACACACACAAAAGCTCTCTCTCTCAAACCTCACCATCAGGGTTTCATCTAAACTTCTGTCATGTCAAGCTAATGTGTTGATGGACTTCTGAGGAAGGACTAGTCACTGGATTAACTAAGTAAACTAGTTCAATGAGTTATCATTTGCCTTTAGAGGAACTCGTGACTGGAATAGACTTCCACCAGAATAATATCCCACAAAAAATAAAAAAATTCTTTAAAATTAAAGGTTAAAACATGACAATAGTGTACTATAAAACAGAAAAGTTTTTCCGGTAACACTTTATTTTAAGGTGTCATTGTTAAACATGTTGCATGTATTTATTATTATAATAACACGTAATTATGCATAATTACATGTAAGTAACCCTGAACCAAACCCTAATCCTAACCATAACCATATAGTAAGTACATG